GGAGGACTGACTGGTCCTCTTCTGGCCACGCAGGGTCATTTTGGCTCCTTCCTGTGGCTGGACACAGGACTGTGACTCAGGTCCAACCCCACATAAACGGCACTGTGGTAGGACGTTTCCTTTACTCTCTTCACTGCGGTATCCGCAGCCTGCTGACCAGTACCTGGCACCCAGTAGGCCCTCAGTAAGCCATGGGGGCTGGAGGGGCTGAGGAAGTGCCCCGGGACCCCATCTATCTTCCCGTCCTTGCCCATCCCGGACTCCACTGAAGCTCGGTCTGTCCGCGTGAAAGCAGGAGTGCTCTTGGGCAGGGGAGGACAGCACCTCCTTGACCTTCATCCACGGAGAAGGCTGATCCTAGGCGGCCCTGAAGCCACAGAGGCCGGCACAGCCTCTGGTAGGCCACCGGCGGGTTCCGGGAGTCGGCCTGAGCGAGCTACAGAGGCCCCTGGCTGATGGAGATAAGGTTGATAAACAGGCCAGTACCTTCCCGCCGCCCTCTTTTAGAGACCCGCTATTCTTTATGGCTTTGCTCAGGTAGATCATTCGGCGCCATAAATTTTCTTATCTCCAGTGCTTTTCCAATTATGGATAACAACAGAAAAGCCGTCATTGGCTTCTAAAAGGTCATCAAGATATAGAGCCCACGCGGGAAGGGGATGACGGATGCAGTTGGCTTGTATAAATCTCAAGAAGTTTTATGCACGAGTCAGACGAGAAACGTAAGTGAGATTCATAAAATATATAAAGATTTATGGGGTCTCTGTTGATGAAAATTGCCTCTCCTTTTGCTGTTTGTGTGGGAATTATTTGTTCTTCCCAAGTGTTTTACATATGGATTGCGGGGAGCCGAGAAGTCCTTATGAAGCCCTGCCCGTGGCTAGTGGCATCCCAAGGACATGTGGCAATTGGTCTCCACCTCATGGAACAGCTGGCAGGAAGAGGTCACGGAAACCACGGGTCTGCGGGACACCAGAAATGCTGGCGTCCCATGGACAGTCAACTGGCTCCTGGTGACACCGTCCTCCTGACATGTGAGGGGTGGGACGTGTTGGTCCGGCTTTGATTGTCCCAGGGCAGGCCTGAGCCCCTGCCTGGGAGCCAGTGTGGATTCTCAGCCTCCCCAGGGCAGGTCTGAGCAGCAACTCTTGTAAGCACTTCCCCAGGGGCTTCACACGCACCAAGGAGGAGAGGAGGAGCACCTGTGTGGAGCTTCCTCCTCCCTCTGTGGAGACTGCAGAAAGGTGAAGTGGCAGTTAGTGACACTGTGGCAACCTCTGCTTTGCAGGGACTTGTGATATCATCAAAGACGGAACCTTGATGCCAATGTGGAGAGCGCCAGGCCGTGTATCTCGCGGAAGCTGTTGATGTAGGCTGATCAGAAGGCGGACCCCAGCCTGAGGGTCGGCATGCGTCAGCTTCACGCGACTGTGAGGAGATACTGGAGGCCGGCTTCTTGGGAAGACAAGGAGGGTTCTTGAGCTCACTGTTTTGGAGGTCAGGGGACCCCTTGCTTTGGGCCTCTGGTGAGGGTGGCCGTGCACGTTGGAGAGAATGCCCTCTCCACCCACGGTCCCCTAGGTCCCCTGGAGGCTACGTCCCCAGTGACCCGAGGACCTCCCACCAGGCCCACAGCATCTCCAGCAGGTCTACCCTGGGGACCAAGTCTTTGAAACACAAAGCCTGGGGACACTGCCCGTATTCACACCATAGGTCTCTGCTGCTCTTCAGCTGTCCCTTGCTGTGCCAATGCAGCAGCTGTACCCACCCAGAGCAAGGCACAGAGGGGAACCTCAGACGCGATGGAGTCCTGCACCGTGGTGCAGAGGTGGGCTGCTGAGTGTCCCACAGCTGGCCCCTGGGGCAGTCCTGATGGCCTCGTTTCCTCATGCCCATGATGAAAATACTCCCGCTGTGGCCAATTTCAAGGGCACTCTGCTGACCTTGGAGCCAGGGTAGGCTGTGCCAATGGGCTGTCTCAAACTGGGCTGAGCCAACCCAGCACCCACCCCACCTGCCGCCCGGGGAATGGGCTGCAGTGAGGCGGAAACGGCCCAGGTGACAGCAGGAGCCGGCAGCCACCTCAGGGCTGGGCAGGCTAAGCCGTGTCCGCCAGGGTGGCGGGGGTGAGTAGGTGTGACCCTGGGGAGGGAGCACAGCCCAGGATCTGGGGACCAGAGTCAGCAGAGAGGTGCTGGGGCTCGTGGGGCAACACCTCCTGGGGCGGAGCAGGGGACACTGGCCTGCCACTAACCTCAGCCCCAGGGCCTCAGGAGCCATGCCCGGCTCACCTGGCCAGGTCTGGGGGAGGCAGAAGGAAGCACAGCCCCCGGGCCTGGGTTGGGGCCTGGCCTTCCCCGGAGCCTCCCCTTCCTTTCCATTGCCCCCCATCCCTTCCCCAGCGTCCTGAGAGATGGCCCCCTGAGCCCGGGCAGCAGTTTGCCCACTTCCTGCCCTCGCTCCAGCTGGCCTCCCCCGCAGCCCTGCCCCACCCTGCCTTCAGGGCCGCAGCAGCCCTCCACGTCCCCAGAGGCTCTCTGCAAACGTCAGTCCTCCATGAGGGCCTTCCCAGTCCCCTGAACCAGGGAGAGCCATCATCCTTCCTCCCCAAGATGCCGTTCCTCTGGTACAGCATGGGTGACGTGTGTCCTGTGTGACAGCGTGGCCCTTCCAGCCACTTGGCTGCTGTTTCTGCTCTCGTGGTGCTGAGGTGGGGGCACGAGGAGGAGGAGAGGGTGCCCAGGCTGACCCCTTGGTCCACTCCTGACCAGTACAACACCAGGTACCACAGAAGAGGAGGACCAGCAAGGCACTGGGGGGTTCAGGGGAGGATCTCTGTGCCCCGCGGCTGTAGGAGACGGAGCTTGCAGTTGCAGGAGGGACGAGGTGGCCATGTGGAATGGCCCTTCTATTATAACAGCCAACTCAGTGTAGGGAGGCGGCTGGGCGGCCACCGTGACCCCTGTTCTCGTGGGGCCACAGTTCCTTGCTCAGCGCCCCCTCCAACCCCGAGGGGAATCTTGTGCAGTGTCCCTGTCCCCTGCAGGCTCTTCTCCAGGACAAAGGATGACAACCCTCAAGCTCACAGACTGATGAGACCGAGTTGGGTGCAGGGACATTTGTCACGTTGCAGAGTGACAAAGAGGAAGTGGGTGTCTGACCTGCGATGACAAACACAGGGAGCCGCCAAGGCACCAGGGGTGGGGAGGGGAAGAGTCACCGTGTCACTTCTCCGCAGATTTTCCTGCATTTAATGGTCCCATAGATTATGAGACCCGATCATCTGATGGCCCATCGAGATGTTTGATGGCGTCAGGGTGTAAAGGTTTTCGGAGAGGGAAAAAAATAATGGTGGATTTTTGTCCTACAAAGACCCTCATTGTCTGTGAAGTTGATTTTGTTTTGCTTTTCTCGGAAGTGTCCTCCAGACACTTCACTAACCTCCTGTGTGCGAAGAGCGGGAAGAAACCCCTCCCCCACCTTATTTGGCGTGGAGGAAATGGGTGTGGTGGGTGCAGATGTGCCCCCCTTTCCCCTTAGAGGGACATTTGAGGTGCTCTCCCTGGAACAGTGGAGAATGCCAATCTTTTCTGAAACCTTTTGGTCTTCTACAACCAGGAAAGTCCAAGAGAAGAGGTGGAAACCCTGTCTCCGAGGGATCCTGTCCCAAGCCACAGTGTCCCAGGGTCCAGTGGGCAGTGCCTGGTCCTGGGAATGGAGATCTGTGTGGATGGCTCCCTTATTGGCCAGGAGGAGCAGGAGAAGCGGCTCTGGGAGCATTCTGCTGTTAGGTCCCTGTCGGAGCAGAGGCGGACAAAGCTCTCCTCCCGTGAGCGCCTGCACCAGCCCATCCGTTGGAGTGTTGAGTCTATGTTTCCTTCTAGCAGCTGCAAAGTTTCTGCCTGACTCCCAGGTCTTGGATCCATTTTGATTTGAATTTTGGGCAGGGTGAGAGATAGGGACCCGGTTCCATCCTTCTAGATATGGATATCCAGCTTTTCCAACTCCATTTGTTAAAAGGCTGTTTCTTCCAGTGTATATTATTTTTGGCCCCTTGTCGAGTATCAGATGGCCGTGACCGTGTGGGCCCGTCTCTGTGTCTCCTGTTCTGTCCCACTGGTCTTCATGTCTGTCTTGGTGCCAATGCCCTGTGGCCTTTGTTACTATGGCTCTGAAGTAAACTCTGAGATCTGCTTTGGGATCCTCCAGCGTTGCTCTTTTTGCTGAGTATTGCTTTGGCTCTTCTAGGTCTTTCATTTTTCCAAATGAGTCCCAGAACTGCTCTTCCTAGTTCTACTTTGATGGGGAGTGCACTGAGTCCGCACAGCACTCTTGGTGGCGTGGCCATTTTAACAATACTGAGTCTCCCTGTCCATGAACATGGGAGCTCTTCCCATCTTCTGAGGTCTTCTTCGATTCCTTCCTTAGTGTTCTATAGTTTTCCCTGTAGAGGTCTTTCACCTCCTTGATTAGACTTACTCCTAAGTTGTTTTTGGTTTGTTTTGTTTTTGAGATTACTTATGAGCCGGACAGTTTTTCTGATTCCTTTCTCAGCGGAATCACTGCTGGAGTCTGGGAAAGCTATGGGTCTGTGTACGTTGACCTTGGATCCTGTCCTCTGCTGAACTTGTTTATCAGGTGTCTTCTGGTGGAGTCTTGCGTCTTCCAGATGCAGGATGAGAACATCATGTGAGTGGACTAAGTGGGCCCCAGAGAGTCAAGGGCTGGATGGGTTCCCTCCTGTGCAAAAGCCAGAGCAAAGCAAGGGAGCAAGGGGAGGGGTGGTGGGTCCCCTGAAAATACCCGGAGACGAGTGGAAGGGGACTGGAGTGGGGGAGGCAGGGTGGAGACAGGCAGGAACTTCGGAACGCAGTGCGCAAAGTCATGCTGTGAACACACGTGAATGTACCACAGCGAACCCACCTTTATGTGTGTCTGTAGAATAAGTGAATGGAAAGAAGACAGAAGAGTAGAGAGGGGCAGACAGGCAGAAGGACGAGAGAGGAAGGAGGAAGCACTGGGGACTTAAATGGAGCAAACCATCCACGCGTGTGTGGTCATGTCAAAATGAACCCGTCATGTTACGTGTGACTATGTTGCCTGGTCACATTCGAGTTGCGGCCAACGATCGTGGAAAGACCCCCAGCTTGCTTGTCACTAGGGGAATGCAAATGAAACCACCAGGAGATCCACTTCACACCTGCTGCGATGGGCAGACCCAGACAGAGGGCGGCAAGTGCCGGCGGGGACATGGAGAAATCGACACCCTGCGCATTCCTGGTAGGAGTGTCGAGTGCTGCAACCCAAATGGAAAGCCGTCCAGTGGTTCCTCAATATAAATATAAAATTACTTTTGTGACTCAGCAATTCCACTCCATGGTACCTACACCAAAGAATTGGAAAAAAAAAAAAACTTGTCCGTGAGTGTTCATAGCCGCAGTATTCATCAGAGCCCAAAGCTGCAAAGAACCCCACTGTCTGGATAAGTGGAAAGACAAATACTGGTATGTAATAATGGAATACTGTTTAGCCATGAAAAGGAATAAAGTAGGGATACTTAAATGTGGATGAATCTCAACAGCATTAAGCTAAATGAAAGAAACTAGTCACGTATGGATGACTTCATTCATATGAAGTATCCAGAACAGAGAAATCCATAGATATGGAAGGCAGATTAATTGTTGCCCACCAGTAGGAGGAGGGGAGACTGGGGAACAGCTGCTTGCTAAGCACAGGGTTCCTGTATTAGTCAGTGGTCCATCACTATAACAAAATATCTGAGATAATTAACTTATGAAGAGAAAAGGTTTATTTTGGCTCTTGGTTGTAGAGGTTCCAGTCTAGGATGGGATGGGCCCATGACTTTTAGGCCTCTGTTGGGTCGCCCGTGAGCAATGGTGGGGAGTGTTTCGTGGGCCAAACTGCTCACCTCATGGTCAGGATGCAAAGGAGGAGGGTGAGGCCGGGGTCCCCAGATCCTCTTCAAGGTCATGCCCCCAGTGACCTCAGTACTTCCCACAAGGCCCCTCTACCTTTAGGCCCACAGTGACCCCCAAAGGAGCCACCCCGGGGACCAAGCCTGTTGCACATGGGCCTTCGGGGGACACTCACAGTCAAATGGAAGCAGCTTCCTTGGGTGATGAGAAACGTCCTGGAACCAGGTAGAGTGGTGGGCGACACTGTGGGTGTGCTAAATGCCATCTGGAACCCTGACTTCCACTGTGGCCCAGGCACGTATAAAATCCAGGTAGCGCCTGGGCACTGGGCTCCCAGCGGGCGACTTGGGGCTGCTGTGGTGGGTAAAGATGGGGCTCTCCTCTGGCCTCCTACAGCTCAGGAATAATGGTTTGGGGGACAGAGTAGGGTAGTGGCCAAACTCCCCCCGGGAGCTGCCTTGGGAATCACAGAAGAGCAAGAGCCCCAGGGTGACAGGAAGGAAGGGTGAGCCACGCACAACTCCTCCCCTGCCACCCCACCCCACCCCACCTCCTGTCCAGCATTCTGGCCCGCAACCTGGAGGTGACCCTGGATGGTGGCATGTCCGCCAGCTCCTCCCCTCCCGGCAGGCCCCTGGAGGGCCAGTCGGGCTGTACGTGGCTCCCGGTCCTGGAGGAAGCTCAGGGACAGCCCAGGTGTGGCGAGTGGGTCTTCCTGGGCTAGATAGTGGGCAGCTCACCCGAGGGCACAGTCTGGTCTCTCCTGCCACTGACACATGTGCTGTGCCTTCTGTGCACGGTGCCAGACTGGCCCAGGAGGCTGTGACCAACCACTGGCCCCTGTGGCCCCTGACCTACCTGATGCCTGACCCCCCTCCCCACCCCAAGCGACAGCCTCCTCAATCCTCTTCTGTGCCTCGGGGGCTCCTCTGTCCTCCATCCACACTCCCCTGAGTTGGGGGGCAGCCACTGACATACCTGAGCTCAGGTGGGCAGTCTAATTTGGCTGAGAGTGGCCTGGGAGGGACACGCGTGGGACAGGTGATGGAGGGCAGAGCAGGGGCCCCTGGCTTGTGTGGCCCACCAGATCCGGAGAACCAGGGTGCCCAGTGTACGGTCCCTGCACCACCCAGGGAGGGCCCAACAGGCTCCTGCAGGGGAGTGAGATTGGACTCCTTGTCCTTGCCTCAGGAGGTCACGGGACCCCCCAGCCAGGGACTCCTCCCTCCTCTGGACAGATCCACCCTCCCCCAAGGGCAGCCACTCATATCTTTGTAAGCACAGCCCTCAGCTCTGGCCCCATCTGGAACAAGGACAGAGAAGTGGATTCATGAAGGACTTGTATAAACCTCGGGGACGGGAGAAGCCCTTCCCCTCCTCACAGCCTCAGAGAAACCTCTCTGGACAGAAGTGGCTCTCCAGGGTTGTGCTGAGGGCCCTCGATCCTGACATTACCAGCAAAGAGCAACCCCACCCCACCCCCCAAACCCGAGGAGCTGGAAAAAGCAGTGCAACGTCTCTCCGGACCCCCATCCAGAGCCCCCCCCCCCCCCCGCCCCCCCTGCCCCTGGCCACAGGAACCAAAACCATCCTTGGGAAGAGAGGATAATTAATTCAAAAAGCCCGCACCCCGGCCTCGGCCCTTTGACAAGGGGGAGGAGGGAGGCCAGGGAGAGCGCTGGGAGTCTATTGCATGATCCCTGTCTCCTTCCAGCCCTAATGAGACTCCCGGGCATTATCCCTGCGTGCATTGTCTAGGGCAGCCGGAGAAGGGCGAGACCAACTTTATTTCTGAATTTGGACTGACTGAAAGAAGTGGCATCACATTTGAAGGGCACCCAATCAATCTGTTGCCCTCACTGCATGAAATTGTATTCGCTTACCACTTCCTATCTCGCCGGGCGCAGCTGGGCTGTAAGTCATTGGTGATAACATTCTTTATTATGCCGTCGTGTTTATGAACTGTGCCTGGAAAGAGATGATAGAAATATGCGGCAATATGCAAAGGAAGGGGGAGGGGGAGGGGGAGCAAATGCTAGTTGCCAGGGCAACCGTGGGGCTATTTTGGGCATCGGATTTTGCAGATGATGGAAACCATTTCCCTGCAGTGGTTGGACTCTCCCCTCCCCCTTCCTGGAGGCAATAAACGCAGAACCGAATATTTAGGAAGGAGATGGCTTAATTTCTTAATTAAATGTTATTATATTCTTTCCTTTCGCCTCCTTTAAAAATGGATGAAAAAAAAAATCTCAGAGTGTTGATAAGCATTCTTGAGTGGAGGGCGAGCCGCATTCTCGTGGAAAGAGATGTGTGAATAATTTACCAATCTTCACGGGTCCCGCACCTCCCCCACCAGACGCAGCCACCTCTTTACCTACTCCTCCGACTTAACGTGATAAACTCCCCAGGCAAAATCCCCGAGTCGGACCTCAGCACAATCTCAGAACCTCCAGGTGTTCGTCAGCCAGCTGAATCCCAATGAGTCCCTTGCCTCCTGGGAGCTGGCTGGGAGACCACTCTGTCCCTGGACACAGAGGTCCCCGAGAAACAAAGGGCAGGACGGACCCTGCTCCTCTCCCTCCACCCAGACACCAGCTTACGGGGAGAGCAGTTTGCCTTCCGCTCACACCAGCCCAGGCAGGCGGCCCCACGTCCAGAGGGCAGCGCCCATGTCCTGCCATCCCTGGTACTGCGTCTCTTCTTATTGTTTCTTCAAGGATTCTCAAAGTGGGGTCCCCTGGCCAGCAATGGCAGCCTTGCCTGGGGACTTGCTAGAAATGCAGCCGTGGGGCCCCCTGCAGACCCACTGAGTCAGAAACTGGAGGAGGGCTAGTGCCGGTGTTGCACCCAGAGCCCCCGGTGACGCCCATGCTGTTGCCACCTGAGAACTGCTGCTCTGCAGAAAGGCCACGTGTGGGTGTCACAGTGTTCCACACCTGTGCGTGCTCAAGAAATGGGTGTGAATGAGGCGGGTGGAAAGGCCCCTAGGAATGGAATCTTCCACCTCCCACCTGCCTCAGGTGAGTCCCACCCGCCTGCCCCTTGGGCACACTCTGATGTGTGAGGAAGGCGGTGGACACTGCACACGGTTCCTCTGGCTGACCAGGCCAGATGTGGGGCTGCTTCCTCTCTCTCCGGGAAGTCTTCCTTGCACAAGGCAGGCACCCCCCCCAAGCCCGGCAGCTGCTTTCAGAGGTGCCCACCAACTGGGACAACCATACACGTCCCAACCCCCTACCCACTGAGCTCTGGCTTCAGCTCCAAAGACAGGCTCCTGGGTCTGGGAAGCATGTTGCAGGTCCAGCTGGGTTCTGGAAGATTCTGTCGGTGTCAGAGGTTGTGGGACAGAAGGCGTCTGGTTGAAAGCATGCCACTGCTGTGTGGTCAAGACAGGTTTGTGCCATCAAAGCCATTCTTTATATCTCTGTCCCAGTGACAATGAAACACTCTATGGCTCCCTAGTGCCCCTTCTGCCCCTCCCCCCATGACTAGAAAGAAGTCCCCTGAAAATGTCCTTTGTGGGCCCATTTGTGTGGGTTCTCTGTAACAAGTAGGGTAGAAGACGGCTGGTGGCTTCAGGTGTGGGGTGTCCCTCGTAAGAACATCATTGCTCTGAGCCTGAAGAGAGGACATACACTTTCTTTTTAAAGCAGCTTTCAATTGCATATTATCCAAGAAATAAGTATTCATAGAGAAAATAAAGAAAAGCACCAAGAACTAAACAAATCATCTATGCTCTTTCCGTATGGAGATAGGACGATCTTCTTTTTTCTTTTCTTTTGTTCTCTATTTTTACAAACTTGGGATCACACCACATCCGCTTTTCCTTAGTGAACATCATCATCGGGGCTTCTCCTGTTCCATGAACAGTCCTCGACACACACAGCCTCTCAATTTTATAAGCAGCTGCATAGAATTTCATGATGCGGACGTATCGCAGTCGGGCCCTGTTTGTGAGGGGACCACTTGTCCCTTTCAGGAAGGGAAAGGGCAGCTGTGAGTTGAACAGGAGGTGGACCCAGAGCCCCCGGGGCAGGGGGAGCTGCAGTCTTTAATGCCTGGTGCTGGAGCCAATGCTGGAGAAGCCGGGCAGCCGTGGGCATGGGGACGGAAGTCAGTGTCCTCGGTGGTGACATTCAGGGACACCGTGAGACAAGGTCACCTCCCCTGGGGGAGCCGCAGCAGGTGGCATTTCGAAGGTGGGCAGTGCAGGAAATGGACTGAGGTGGAGTTGGCGTGGGTTTTTTGCTGTGTCCTAGAAGGGGGCCGGCAGAGGGGGGAGATGGCGATGCCCGCTGCAGGGCCACCTGGAGGAGCTGGAGCCATTGGGTACTGAGGACCCTCTCAGGGGAGGGCAGCCACTCCACCTGGGGAAGGCGCGCTCAGCTGGGGTGTCTGCTCTCCCTGTTGGGGACCCACACCTCTGCAGCCGGCTGAGAGGAAACTTGAGTCAACAGGATGATGGCCGTCAGCCTGCTCCAGTGACAGGTGGGCTTGCCCCAGGGCTCTGAGGCCCGTCAGCTCTTCTCCCTTCCCCCATCACTGTGACCTCTACAGTCCCTACCACAGGGAATCCCCAGGCCACTGCTGCGGAGGGAACACTCGAATCAGCCACCTCAGTAGTTTTTGCAGAAGAATTGCAAATCCCCCCCATCCCCCACCCCATCAACCGTTGCACAGTTGACATTGGGCCTGGGGACTCCTGTTGGAGGGGCTGCCTCATGTGCTGTGGAGTTTGGTCCCCTCACACTGGACGCCTTCTCTGTCATGATGACCAAAGTCTCTCCAGACGCCCTCCGTGCTCCCGGGGAGGCGGGCAAGATCCCCACCGAGTGAGCACTAGGAGCCCAACAGCGTTGCTCAAAACGCCTGCATTCTGTGTCACCAGGCCTAGTGGCCTGTTCGTGAACGTTTTATGGTACACGGGGTTCCACGATCTGCTCAGTTGGAGAACCGAGCTGAGGGCGTTAGAGGGTCACCTGGTTGGCGGCCTCCTCTCCTGGGCCCCCACCTGCCTCTGGAGCTGGGCAGAGTCTGTGCTTCTCTCTGGGTCACCTTCAGTTTGCCAAGCCCTCTCCCCTCGTCCGTCCTCCTGGGCTCCCCCTCCCCTCGTCCTCCTGAGCCCTCTCTGGCCTCTGTTCCCTAGAGCTCACTGCTTTGCTGTGGGTGACGACTTTGGCTGCACTTTCCCTGGGTCAGGGGCAGCGTTTGGGGGGAATCTGTGAGTTCGGTGGAGCCGGCTGGGGACCCGCCGTGGGCCCAGTGAGCTCAGCCTGGTCCTGCACGCATGCTCCCCGCTTGTTCTCATCTGCGGGGGACCTCCGCCTGCACTGCCCCCGCGGCTCCCAGTGTCCTTCCTTAGCTGCTGCGGTTTCCAGTTCTGGAAGGACGTCCTCTCAGGACTAGCCGCGGTGTTTGTGCAACAGAGAGCTGAGAGTTGGGGGAGGAACGCCCAGGCTGGGGTCACCAGGGAGGCATTTTAGCCTCCGCCCTTGCTGCTGGATCTCGGAGACTGAGGACCCGTGGTTGAGGGATAGTGTGGCCCTGTAGCCATGGGTGTTGGTTTCAGAGGGCACCAAACCCAGAGGGGACAGTGAATGGCAGGAGGGGGCAGGTCTTCTTTCAGGGCTCGTGGTGCTGGGAGCTGCGTGTCGTGAGGGGCTCAGGCCGTAGTTCTGCGTGTTTCTCTTTGGTTCTTCTCAGAGTGATTGGCAGGAGGGCTGGGCCCCTGTCCTGCTTCCTGGCCAGGGGAGGAGCCTGCTGGGCACTGATTTAGGGATGAACTCGCGCCCGCAGTCCTAATGGACAGCTCGGGAGCGGCTTGCTTGGTTGTAGTGTTCAGTTTTGTTTTGAAAGAATCTCCGGTGACTTTGACTCCCCGGCTCTTTGTTCCTGATCCAACAAGACTCACACTAAGTTCATCACCTTCGTCCACCTTTGCCTCCCAAGGGCGACAGTTCAGCTCAGGTCTTGAGACTTGGTCTTATCTTTCCTTGTCTTTGCTCCTTCAAACTCTAGATTTTATGTCATCAGCATTGACCATTTTCCCCCTTTCTAAGTGGATTTCAGCATCACCCCCATAGCCCAGGCCCAGGAAAACCATAGAAGTGCCGGAGGAAAGAACAGGGTGGGGGTGCGGCAGGGTCCCCCACCCAGCAGGAAGGGGTTGGTGGGCGTGGCACCCGGGGAGCCCCTCTGGGGAGCATCAGGAAGGAGACAGAAGGAAACGGAATGACCCTGGCCCTCTGCACACAGGTCTTCCTCACATGACCCTTTACCTTTGCTCTGGGCTCGTGGGTCCAAGCACCACAAACCAGGGGCTTAAACACTGGACATGTGTCCTCACACACTGCTGGGGGCCAGCAGTCTGACGTCCAGGTGTGGCAGGGTGGCTCCTCTGGGGGAGGCCCTGCCCCAGGCCTGGTCTCTCAGAATCGCCAGGGTCACAAGAGCTCAAATCCCCCTTGGTCTTTCCCCCTTCAGTCTTGAGGTCTTTTTCACGGAGACCCTGTCCCTTGCGTGGCATGGAGCCTGCCAAAGGCGTCCTGAGAATCCCCAGCCTGGGGTGGAGGCTGTGTCTTGGCTGAGGAGCAGCAGGACTCAGAACCCGTGTGTCCACCAGGTTATTCTGCCTTGACCTTGCCGCTAGCCCCACAGCCTCACCCTTTTTCTTTTCTCTTTATTCTTTCCTGCTTGCAGAAAGAAATCCCAAGACCCACCCACACTACCCGGAGACCGTGTCTCTACCACTCCCCGGAGACCAAGTCTCTTTCCCTGAAAGAACTGCTGAGCTGGCTTCTGAGCTTGCGGCAGGTGGTGCTTCCCAGAGGGGCCCAGGGTCCTGGCGCTTTCCAATCCAGCTCTGCTGTATCCAAGTGGGGATCTCTGCCTGCCGTGCCCCTGCCTGGTGGCAGCCTGACCCTGCCTGATGACTGACAGTCTAAACCCCTGCCTGATGACTGACAGCCCGTACCCCTGCCTGATGTCTGACAGCCCGTACCCCTGCCTGATGACTGACAGCCTGTACCCTGCCTGATGACTGACAGCCTGAACTCCTTCCTGATGACTGACAGCCTGTACCCCTGCCTGATGACTGACAGCCTGAACTGCTTCCTGATGACTGACAGCCTGAACCCCTGCCTGATGACAGCCTGAACTGCTTCCTGATGACTGACAGCTTGTACCCCTGC